CCACTTTACAAGGCCTTGGTAAGGCCACACTTGGAATACGGCATCCAGTTTTGGTCACCACGATGTAAAAAAGATGTTGAGACTCTAGAAAGAGTACAGAGAAGAGCAACAAAGATGATTAGGGGACTGGAGGCTAAAACATATAAGGCACGGTTGCTAGAATTGGGTATGTCTAGTTTAACGAAGAGAAGGACAAGGGGGGACATGATAGCAGTATTCCAATATCTCAGGGGCTGCCATAAAGAAGAGGGAATTAAGCTATTTTCCAAAGCACCTGAAGGCAGGACAAGAAGCAACGGGGGAAACTAATCAAGGAGAGAAGCAACCTAGAACTAAGGAGAAACTTCCTGACAGTGAGAACAATTAATCAGTGGAACAGCCTGCCTCCAGAAGCAGTAAATGCTCCAACACTGGAATTTTTTAAGAAGAGACTGGACAGCCACTTGTCCGAAATGGTGTAGGGTTTCCTGCCCGAGCAGGGGGTTGGACTAGATGACCTCCAAGGTCCCTTCCAACTTTATTATTATTATTATTATTATTATTATTATTATTATTATTATTATTATAAAGTGAGCAAGCTATGACTATAAAGATTCCATTTGCAATATGCTATTTATGCAAATTAGGGTTTTCTTTGGTTGTTGCTATAAAGATCATGAGGTATAAATGATAACTACATGAGGAATGAGAAAAAAAGAGTAACTGTTTTAAAAATATTTTCCCTTTTTCAGATAATATGCAAAAATAAGATTAATGTTTTTCATTTAAAATATGTGATGATTCATTCTTTTTTTATTCTATTAAATGTTTTAATTTTTAAATTTGCAGAAATATATTATTGTTTTACCTGACACACAGATTAAAATTTAATTATTAAAAATAAGTGGGTTATTTATTTTTTGCCTAAGCCAGGCACTAAAGAAACCATTACATTTTTTTCCGTGGAAAGACATATATATTCATTTTTTTTTTCATTTGAGAGGGTAATGGTAAACCTTGAGAATTCTTGGTTGAGCATCTTTTCTGACCTCAATCATTTTGATTTTACAAAATATAGTTTCTTGATTAGAGAATAAACCAATACCGATGGCTTCAATTATTTGTGAATAGTCTCTTCCAGTAATCTAAGGGAATTGAAGGACTAGATTGTGGAAACTAAACTTTTTCTTTCTTCTATGATTACATCTCTCTCTTTTCTCCCATTAGCATCTTCTTCTTGATCATAGAAGGAAACCTGGCCACAAACAATGATTAGAGGGTTTGCAAAACTCCCCAACCACAAGCACCATCAGTGGAATGAATTTTAAGTGGTTTGCAGGCAGCATTAACAATTAAGAAGCCCTTTCACTCCCATGGAATAGAGAAGTCAGTGTAAGCCACTAAGGACTTCCTCCATCACCAACTGAGTAGACTGGTCCAATAAAGGCCAGCTGCTGCAGAGGAGCCATTTGTGACTGAGCTTACCTAGCAAGATCCATCATGACTGATCAAGGAGAAAGAGGTGCAAATACATTTCATAGACACCTAATCCTAATCCTTAAAAAGTGTAATTAATACATACACAAAGCTCATCTGACATTTATGTATGCATAAAATAATAAAAAAACAAGACCCAAACTATGGATATACCAAAAAAAAAAAAACATTTACAAATATACTGGTTCTCAAAACTTAGTAGATAAAGTCTACCTATAGTGGATCATTCTGTAACGTATTATTTAACTACTTAAATGTATTAATAAAAGATCTATTTAACATGTTACTCAGAAAAAGCTTTTCATTTTTTTTAATTCTAGTTGACTCCTGATCAAGAGGAAACTTCTACTGAGATAAAAACTGCTGCATTCAAGTGATTTTTGTTTTGCCCTTAGAGTTTGAAACTTCATCAAGTGCTTATGGAAACCAGAGATCAGAGTTTGAAAAACCAGTCTATAGATCTCAAAAATTATCCAAAATTGCATATACTCAAGCTTAAAAAAAGAAAAAAAGATATATCTAAATAAGTACCCGAAAGAGAAAGATGATACTATTTAAAGTAAGTAAAGTAAATATTGTCAGTTATATAACTTACTACAATCAATTTATGAAAAAAGTGGTGACAATTTGCCTTCATGATCTTAAAGTAGAAATGAACATAGGTGTACGACAAGACAATACAATATCACCTATCCTTTTCTCAGCCTGCCTTGAAAAAGTATTTTGCAAACTAGACTGGGCAAAAGATGGAATAAAAATCAATGACATCTATTTAAATCACTTAAGATTTGCAGATGATGTTGTTCTCCTCTCACAAGACCCAGAAGAGCTATAAAGATACATACATATGCTACCTGTTCTAACATATGCCGGTGAAACACGGACACTAAACCCACAATCAACACAAAAGCTACGAGTGGCGCAAAGAGCCATGGAAAGATACATGCTCGGCATTAAAAGACAAGATAGAAAGACCTGCAAATGGATTAGAGAACAAACGAAAGCATACGATCCCACTTGATAAAAAGCATCCACGAAAGAGACCTAAAACAAGATGGATCGACAACATCAGCAAGTATTGTGGGCCCAATTGGCCGAAGAAAGCTCAGGACGTATTGGTTGGAAACATGCGGATGAGGCCTTTATCCTGCAGTAGATAGACAATGGCTAGAATGATGACAAAACTGCACACTAGTTTGTATACACTTACAGTTATAAAACCATCACATGTTTCACATACAGTAAATGAGAATATTTACTTTAAAGGGTATCATCTTTCTTTTTCAGTTTCCAGAGAGGTAGTAATGTTATAGGAAAAATACAGGCTTGTTATTTGAAAATCTAAATTATTAGGGCATCAACTTCTCTTGATCAAGGTATGTCTCTTCAAATATAATAATGATAATGAAAATGATAATAATAGTGATAACAATAATAATAATTTAAAAAATAAAAATAAAAAATAGAGTTGGAAGGGACCTTGGAGGTCTTCTAATCCAACCCCTTGCTCAGGCAGGAAACCCTATGCCAGTGATGGCGAACCTTTTAGAGACCAAGTGCCCAAACTGTAACCCAAAACCCACTTATGTATCATCAGCTGCCAGGTGGGCGTGGCCCATTGGGTGGGCATGTTTGCAGTAGTAACGGCAGACTGGGTGGGACTAAAAATTTCAATCAATTCCAACTTTGCAAGATCTTTTTTTTTCCTGCGAGAAGTTGAAATTGATTCATTGATTGAACTTTTTTTTTTTTTTTGCACATGGTGGCGGAGGCGAAAAGGTTTTATAAAACCCAGCTGAAGGCCTAGGACTGGGGTGATGGCGTGTGTGCTCACAGAGAGGGCTCTGCGTGCCACCTGTACCATGCATGCCACGGCCCTATGCCATTTATGGTTTGTTCATGGATAGAATGAATTAGAAGGAAGTGACATGAAGGAGTTAAATACAGAGATAAGAACACAGGACAACCATTCAAAAACAATGATGGCTTGATTAAGATATATAGAAAAAAATTGAGGCATTGTTTTTAGATTATGCTAAATACCACGCTGGAGGGTTCTACTTTATTTTATAAAAGTTATAAAGACTACAGAGATACAGCACAATGATTAGATGACCTTAAACAGAGAAACTTTTACATCTGGACTGAGGTTTGCAAAGCAAGAGAAGCAAGGTAAACAAATCATTATTGATCACTGCATGGTTTCTCATTTTAGCCAACAGTGTTTCATAATAGTATTTCACAAGGATGACTAAAAACACCCATTAGGTTTTTGGCTATCAATAGGCAATTGGCATGCTATATTACCCACAGAGATGTGAAGCTGATATAAATATACTTTTGGATATGATTCAAATGGCTACTTACTGATATAATTATATTAGAAAATAGAAATTAGGTATTTTTTTAAAGTGTATGGTCAAACTGATTTTACAAAAGTGCCTGAGAGCAAATAAAAATTAATCTAGTCAAGTTCAGGTAGTCCTTATTTTGCAACTGCCTCATTTAGGGACCATTTGCAGTTACAACAATGATAAAAAAGGAACTTGGTGACCAATCCTTGCATTTATGATCTTTGTGTCTGTACAGCAAAAAAAAGCTGAGGTATGATCATAAGCACAGTCAACAGTTTCACTTTGCAACCACTTTGGTTAATGACCAAGGTTTTTTTTAAAAGGTAAAGGAATAAAGGATTTTATTCTGCCAGTTATTGCCGACTATAGGGGACACTGCTCATCTCTGTTTCAATGCCATTGAACCAGTGCTGTCCAAAGACATTTCTGCAGCAATGTAGCCAGCATGATGTCACAGAGCACTGTTACCTTCTTACCAAAGTGGTACCTATTTAATCTACTCGCATTTGCATGCTTTTGAACTGCTAGGTTGGCAGAAGCTGAGGTGAGGACGGGAGTTTTTGAACCTGGGCTGCCAGCTTTCCAGCCAATAAGCCTAGCGCCTTAACCACCAAGCTACTGTGCCATTTCCAAGACCAAGTTACCGTTCCCAATTATAGTAGCTGAATGAGATATACCCAGTGGTGGGATTCAGCTGGTTCGCACCACTTCGGCAGAACCGGTAGCTAATTTTTTGTTGCCCAGGCCCAGAATGGACTTCCAGAAGTGGCATCCACACAAAGAACCGGTTGTTCACATATTTGAATCCCACCACTGGGTATACCTGTACTGCAAATATAACATCACATGAGAGGGAAGCAATTTAGATTTCTTTAAAGAAAGCTTATTTTAATCTTTAATATGTCATATGGCTAGTAATAGAAAACAACAGTGGCATTGTCTTTTCCTTTAAGTGGACCCAAATCTTTAGATATTTTAGAATTTCTGGGCTCCACTTCAAATGCAACAGGACAGAGGTAATCGGGAAAAAGGAGAAAGGTAGATATTTGAATCCAGCAGTGCTATAAGATAGTATTAAAATATCCTTTTCAGGCATCTGAGGTTCTCAAAAGAAAACACAAGAGAGATTTTCTCCTTTCAATAGTTGTAAAAATGGAAGGATTAGCTCACCTTGTTTTGTGTTGACATCTGAGGGGAGGTGTGAAGGATGTGTCCCTGGAGAAAAATGTTCATCGCTGTAGGTGATGAGTGGAGTGAGAGGGTGTACTGCATGGGAAGGTTGTACCACAGGTACTTTGTTGGACTGCAAACAAAAACAAAAGGCTTGAGTAGCATTTCTTTCTTTTACTTGTTTTTTCTTAAACTAATAGGCCCAATAAAAATAGTGCACTTTTAATTGCCTCATTGGGGACAATTTAACTCTGTTTCATAACCATCAATACTCACACATGCTAACTCTCACAGTAGGTGGAGATTCAAATAATGGTTTGTTAAATAAGCCACAAAAACTGGATTTACCCAGACTACCAAGCCATTAATAATACAATGACTGGGTATATAAAACATGTTAAAATAAAATCAAACAAAGCTAGGTTCAGGACAATATGTGAACTCAACCACAGGTTGAAGATTATACCTATCTAATTCAAAACAATAGCCATTGATCAAATTTTACAGTCCTCCCCACCATCTGCATGATAAGTAGCCAGGGACTGGCAGACACATCACTATGTTGCTCATTTGAGACGGCGAAAATCAGGTAGGAGAATATCAAAACTTGGTTAGCCAAGATGCATTGTAGAGCTAACATGGAGTAATAATTACAAAAGGCTAGAAACTACACATAAAAAGTAGTTTTATCATGGCATCCGGGCCACAAAACGCTTATTTACCAGAAGTCTGAGGATATTTTGTAACTTCATCTAGTCCTACTGTGATGAGTTCTACTTTTGTGTGTTCTTCTGGGCACCTGGGAACATTTCTAAACAAAATACTAAGAGACAACCCATTCTCTACAAGATTGCTTAAGGGATCAAAGACATTCTTGAAAATAAAGACAATACCAAAGACTTTCCTTTACAGCACACCAAGCTATTTTTTAATTATTATTTTAAACCAAAGGATTCCTATTCAGCCTAAATATGTCCAAACACATATCATTTGTTAGCATGTAAGTATAGTAGTGCAGTCTTATACTACCAATGCTGAATCACAGAAGTCTGATGCTAAAATCGAACAACTTGTTTGGCCTCGTATTTAACAAAAGAAATGTGCTAAAGATCTGGGGATCATAACTAGACAGAGACTTCATCAAATGGAGCTTGATTCTTAGTAACTACCACAACAAGCAGTTTTCTTAGCAGTTTTAATGATGTAATTTGCTTTTGCATTCTTCTATAATTCTTTCCAATTTCTACTCTGCAGCCCTAGGTCTTACATCCGAATACAAACCTGATCTGACCCTACTTAGCTTTTGGCGATTGGGGTGTTATCAGCTGCATAGTGTTTTCTGTCTTCCTAAAAGAGAAGCAATGCTTTTGCTACAAAATGGAATTCAATAGTCAAGGTAAAGGAAGTCTTCTCTGAAGCATGGAAAGAAATCAAGCTATTCTGTTGATGGGTGCAACAATCCCCTCAAGCTGAAAAGTATTAGAGTTACCACAGTAATCCCCATTTTTTTTCATACATACATCTATGCAAAACATGAAAAATATGTCTGAGACTCATTTGCATTATTAAAACATGTTCTTTGGTTCATTCCCCCTTTTCTGCACTCAAGAAAAATCTCAGTATAATTTGAAAACAGTGTAAAACCCTTTCAGCATTCTTTGAAATAATCACAAATATACATTCATGTTGGATATGCTTCTGGGAAGTGAAGAGAGATTCATTCCAAAATGCAGATATTGTTCATTAAACCTTCACTCATAAGATAGTGGAAACAAAAAATTGAATATTTTTTCATTGACATTATTTAAATCATATATTATTTGTACGATAGACCATATTTCAAACACAGTACCAGAGTCTATAAAAATGCCACATTTTTTTTTAATCTGCTACTTTTTCTTTGCATACTTTCCCTTGTTTCCCGAGAACTACCTTAAGGAACTTGCATTAGCAAGTAGTATCATTTTAATGTCTGACCTATCCCTCCAGTCATATAGCTCAGAATCTTCTGCATGGATTTTTGCTAAATTATGCTATCCTTCCTCTCCTCTTAATTTTACGGTTTTCAACACAGATTTGCTTTCCTGTGGGAAGGAGATAAGAACCTGAGGATTTTAATTTAAGCTTTGGCCTTGTCTTATATTTTGCAAGAGAGAGAGAGAGCGTGCACACGCGTGCATGCACAAGCAGGAGAGAGAAAAGGCGATGCCACTCATAAGTGGTTGAAAGCCATTAAGCATTAGGTCCATTATTTGTCACGAAATAATAAAGCAGAATGAATTTCCATTAAAATATATGAGTTAGCATGCAAGAGATATTTGAAACAACAATATATCTTCCCGTTGTTAAAGAAAACACATATTGATAAACATTGAATAACTATTTCCAGATTATCTATACCTATAAGTATCAACTGACTGGGAAGATTTTTTTTAAACCAATATATCTGAGATTATACAAAATAGAATTTACAGCAACATATCACCCCCAGAACATTTGAAAAGCTAATTATAACATTTGTGCTTAAATGTAACTGCTTCCAACACAAATTTCCCATCTAAACAGTTATCATTATAATGCCACTGTGCTTCTTTCTTTGCCACAAGGAGCTCTTTTACATTCTTCCTTATTATAAATAAAATGTTCCATTACTGTAGTTCCTGAAATGCTAAAATATCTAATGAGAAGAACATTTCTACAGTTTTCCCCCATATTATAGTCAACAAAACAGATTAAGAACAATTTCACACAACAGCCTAAGTTGCTCATCTTTCATGCTGTTCCCAGTTGTTCCTTTAAAAATTCCATTGTGGACTCCAATGGTTTGGCATTGGGGCTGTTTCATGTTCAAAGACTTGATATCTGATCCACTTTTAGGTAGGTCCACTCCTCCTTTAAATAAAAGGTGAGCCATCCATGCAGTGTTGGGACAAACTGAAACTAGAGATTTCACCTAAAGCTTCACATTTTAGCCAGAAAAGTGTGTTTATGGCTCTGTCCAGACCTTTGGTCAGAGTGACTGAAGCCTCCTTTTAACTTGCTTTTCTTTCCTTTTCTTTCTGTTTTGTTTCTTATACTGCAACCTTTACTCTTTTTGTTTCTTGTCACTTTCAATATCTTGTTTATCATGTTTGAAATAATTTGTAAAAAAAACCCAGAGTCTCTGAGAGTCAGATGGCATAGACATTTAAGTAATAATGATGATGATTAAAAAAAAAATCAAAAATTGAAATCCAGTCATTGACAAAAACCATAAGAATCCTTAGCACAGATACTGCATAGCAATAGAATTTATCTTAGATGAATGTGCTATAGTAGCAACAAATTGGGATAAAATCACAAATGAATAGAAATGTCAAATGGTCAAACCTTCTGGAGCCATCAGGATAAAGCCTACAAGTATCTGGGCCTTTTATAGTTAGATAGCATCAAGCATGGAGACATTTAAAATGAGATTAAGAAAGAAAATATCCAAGGTGTGAAAAAAATGCTAAAGATAAAGCTGTATGGTAGAAACAGCTTCAAAGCATCAATACCTTAATCAAAGCTGATATAATACACTGCTAGAATTATTAGCTGGACACAAGCTAAACTTACTGTAACTGTTTGGACCTCAAAACAAGAAAGCTTATGACTACTATTCACTGCGTATTACATTCCCATAGTGATATTGATAGATTGTTCCTGCACTTCAGAAATGGAGGGAAAGATTTATTTCAAGTCAAAGAAATTGTCAAAGAAGAAAAGCATTCATTGGCTGATTATATAAAAGACTGCCAGCAGTGATGCAAATTAAAAATTAGAACTTATTGAATGTATAGTAAATGAAACATAAATATGAAGCAATGTGATATAAACAATAACAAAATACTGAGAATGAAAAATATTACATGGTCAGTTTCTACAAAAGATGAAAGGGAAAGTGCATAAAGGTAAAAACTGGCAATGGCTTACAATTGAAACATTTAAAAAAGAAACTGAAAGCTTGATTTTGCTACTCAGGAGCAAGCTATTCAAACTAATGCAATCAAGGCAAGAACTGAAAAAATCATCAAATGATTCAAAGTGAAATTGTGCAAAGAAGCTGAAAAAACAGTGGACCACCACCTAATTAGCTGCTGTAAAAAGATTGCATAGACTGATTACAAACAGTGGAATTACAAAGTAGCAACAATGGTGCATTGGAAGATCTGAAACAAATAACATTTGCGTGTAAGCAAGAACTGGTGGGATCACAAAATAGACAAAGTAATAGCAAATAAAAAAGCTAAAGCAGTCTGGAACTTAGAAGTCAGACAAGCTTCTGCCACATAACGCTCAAGACTTAACAAGAAAGACAAAAACGTCTGGATACATAGTGGATATTGCAATACCTGAGGACAATAGAATAGGAGAGAAAGAACTGAACAAAATCACATAATAGAAAACCTAGAAGTAGAAACAGAACAAGTAGGGCAAAGGAAAGCAAGGTAATACCAATAATAATAGGTATCTTGGGTACTATTCCAAAATATCTGGAGCATCAATTGAATGCTGTCAGCATTGCAAAATCATCAGTCATCAATTACAAAAAATAGCATTATTTGTAACAGCTCACATCTTGCAACAATACCTTTAATTAATATATATGAAGCACATGAGCCCTCAAGAAACCTTATGTCATCAAAGGACAGAAACACATGAATTATATAGTAAAATTATATATATAGCATTTTATATAATATTTTATAGTATACTAAAAGGTTACTATATCATACTGAAATAATTCAGTGGGTAATTACATATGCATGACAATTGTTATCAGTAGGGCAACTTTCTAAAAACCCAGTGCCTCTAAAATTATTTTGGACAGCAGTTTCTAGAATTCCAAATGAAACTGATGAGATATAGTTGAAATCATTTCTAGGGACTCAGATTTAGATTTAGAAAGGCAGCTATTGGCTGATCAGATTGCATATTTAACAAGATCAACTATGGCTCCTCTCTCTTCTCAAGTCCTGTAGCCTCATCATGGTATAAGGAGGCATTGTTGGGAGTGTATGCCAAAGAATATATAATCCCATGAAGGTCATCCAAGATATGAAGGTTATTCTAATTGCCTGATTAAACCAAGGGACCACCTTTATTTGGCTG